AGGATAATTGTATCTTTTTTAAACATTAGAATTCTATTATTTTTTAAATCATATATCTATATATAAATAGCAAAAGGCAAAAAATGATGAAACATTCAAAATACCAAAAAATGCCCTTGGTTAATTCAAATATTAAGAATTGAAATTATTAATTAAATGAGGATAATATGGTAAATTCACATTTTTCATATTAAAATAAATAAAAATAAAAACAAATTCAGATAATAGATCCTATTTTTATGAAACATAACTACCCATGTTATCTTTTCTTTGAAAAATCACTCACATAGTATGCATTTTAATGGAAAATTAAAATTAAAGGAAGTCATCCAACAACAAAAATGTTGTTTTTTATTATTCTCAAATTGTCCTACCATACATGTTTTTATTATTATTATTTTTTGAATATGTTTTCCAATTAATCTACCAGACGCATTTTCGAAGCCTAAAAATGCAAATTCATTTTCTCGTTTTCTTTCTCATAAAATATTCTTAGAAAACATTCTCTGAAAACTTTACCGAACAAGCCCTTAGAGATTTGGATGGCATAAACTATAGAAAGATCAAATGGCTTTCTTGGGTTTTTGGGGGATTGAGCACCAAATTGCTTCTTTTACGTCAATCCACAAGCAAAAAAATTGGATTGCTTCTACCCATTTTTAATGTAGTTACAACTGACACCATACCAAGGTGATAAAAATGATGTTTCAGGTGCCAATTCATCTTTATAATTAATTTAATTACACTAGAAGCTTGTGGATAGGGAACTGTGCACGAAAATGTTCTTCATTGTTCTTGACTGCAAAAGGTTACCCATCACAGCAGGCTGCAAAACTTCCTCTGCATAATTGTGTTTTCTTGATCTAGAAAACCACTTGGCCAGTGCCAATTGGATAAGTGAGATAATAATTATAAAAAATGCCATGAGCATAGAATTAAAGCATAATTATACTAACGTCTCAGCATAGAATTAAAGCATAATTAAACATATTTGTTTCAGCTTAACTTATCGAATTTTCGAGAAGTGAAGGATACGGACAGCGTTGCTGTGGTGAAAGATTCAGAGGAAAAACAGACCAGAGTGGTAACCAGTCAACACCCTTTTGCAACAGCTATGATGATCGGAACACGATGATTTGTGCCTGTCAGCCAGGCATGGAAGGAAATCCTTATCTTCTCCAACCTTGTCAAGGTACGCAAACTGAATCTCTTCTTTCTGGACTTAGATTGATCCTTGATTTCTAATCTCAGTGGTCTACTATAAAAATGTAATGGTATTTACCCTTGGAAAGAAACTAAGGTAGGAGGATGTTTGGATGAGTGGATTAGTTCGTTTGGGGACTTACTTTAATGAATACCATTAGGTATTTTACACTTCAAAATTCCACGAGTTGAAATGACATCTAAAACATGTCATTAGACAAATCCTCTCCTTTTAGAGTATCTACAATTTTGTTCTCTATTTTTCAGTTAAAATTTAGCTAAAAAGATATAAAAGCTATTTTAGAAGTTCTTTATAAAATTTTAACTTCAATCATACTCTCTAGTTTAGGGAGTCATAAATGTTACTATTTTTTTAATTAGTCCATCTCCATAAAAAAAAATATATAAAAAAAGTTATTATTAATTAAAGGTTTAAAATACTCATAAAATAAAGCAACATTAAATTATAGGAAGCCACTAAGTGCCCGTTTGGCATTGCTTATTTAGGGTGATAAGTGATTTTTAAACAAATTTGGGAAGTCTAGCCCGTTTGGTAAACTATGAGAAAATCACTTATTGTTAAAAATTGTTGTGAGAGAAAGCTATAAGGGAAAGCAGCTAATGAGGTGCTTTCATTTTCTGATTATGCAGGAATCAGTTTTGAAGAGGCGCTGAGTTTAATGATTATGCCACAATCATTTTCTGATTATGAGGAAATCAATACTAACAACACTTTTAAAAAAAAATTTACCATACGCCAAACTGCTTTCTCTCACAGCAAATCTGACAACGATTATTTTCACAGCACAGCAATGCCAAACTGGCCCTAAGAGTCCTTTCTCTCTCATCAGATTTAGGAGTTCCTAAAAGTCTCCATATTTTAAGAGGTTGATAGGGAGCATGGTTGAAGTTGTATTTTTTTAATTCCTCCATAAAATTTGTCTAAAGAGGTGATTGAAGTTGTATTTTCCCTAAAAATCTCGATGTTCTTCCCATAAGGATTCGTCATAGATTTGGATTTTCCTCCGCCTTTTCGATATTGACTTCGTCATTTAATTCTAGCTTTGCAACTTTGATTGTTATATCAAAATTAGCTTTCTACACAGAGCTACCACATTGTTGGGGACAACCCAGTAAGCGTTAGGCGACGATAGCTTCTTGTGGTGGTGGACATGAACGAGCGGAGCAATATCGGGGTAAAACTTCTCTTGGAAAACCACAGAATCAATTTCAAAATAATAAATAAAATTAATAATTCCACATTAGTTAATTTCATTAATTGATATGATATGACTACATCAGCTTTCACATAAAGTGATCAGCTAATGTGATCAATTAAGTGTGTTCAAATAGCATTACTCTTCCTCCTTTTCTTTTTTTTTTTGCATAGCGAAAATGAGGTAGTTTGGCTAGGATTGAAAAAAGAAAACACGCGCAGCGCAACACAGAAAAGAACATGTCGCTGGGTTGCTGAGGCTGCGCGCAACACAGAAAAGAACATTTATTCGAACAGGTGGTGGGCACCTCCAAGGCAGAGCTGAGAGGCAAACTCGGCAACTTCAAAGCTTTTTCCCAATAAAGATAATATTAACATATAAATATATATGTTATAAATATAACATTTCAGTTGAGTATATGTGGGTCCGCCAATGAAGATAATATTAACATATAAATATATATGTTATAATATGAAATCATTAGGAATATCACGTGAGTGTTAATCCAAAAGATTACTCATAACTGTGTACTAAAACATAACATTTCACTTACAGTACTGTTCTCATTATTATTATAAAATTGCTAACCCATAAAACTTTAAAACAATTATATCAGCATGAAGCATGAAGCATGGGTAAGGGAAAAACAATTATCTATTGTTGACCCCATGAAAAAGGAAGGTTTTGCAAAAGATGTAAATTATCCACCCCATGACAAAATCTCTTAATAGCGTTCGTTGCTTTTTTGTTGAAAGTTATATGACACCCCTTTGACTTGTACGACAAAGAATTGTAAAAAAAAACAAAGAAGAGATATTTAGGGCTCATTTAGTATACTATTTGGATTCAATTTTATGAACTAAAAAATAAATTTTAAGTTCCAATATTGAAAACAAAAAAAGTGAGATTTTACATTTCTCTCTCTCTCTGTCTCTCTCTTGTTAATTTCAATTTGGGAATTAGGGTTTCTGATTTTAATTTTAATTTTTTTAAGATCTTAAAAATAGTTTGGAGTTCAATACCAAACAAGTTTTTAGATCTTAAAATCAGTATTTAAAAACTCATGATTTTTGAGTTCATTTTTTTCTAATATGATACCAAACGGGCCCCTAATAATCGGAACAATCAATTTTTTTTATAAAGCTCTCTATATGATATTCTAAAAGGAAAAAGGTAGAGAAACATAAAATTGTATGGGATATCATAGCCATCATTTGAGTTTCATACAAACTACATTAAAAGGTGGACTAAAGGAAGATGTCCTAAGTCCCTCCTCTAATATCGCCTGTATTTAAGGAGGATGTATGCATTCCTCAAGTGCTAATTCGAAAGAGATTTGGTCTCTTATTTTAACTAATAAATATTTTTGTTCTTTTAAAAAAGGGTTTTCAAGACACAAGAGGACTTGGACACTTGACCAAACTTAGTCACATGATCCTAAGAAAAGACCTGGTCAAAGAAAGAGTTTTATGCCCTTCTTGTGATTACTATAGTCAAGTTACTTGTAATTACGGTCAAGATAGAGAACATCATTTTCACCCATCGCTGATGTAAAAACAAATTCATTAATTTTGTCATGAAATAGAATTTTATGAGCTTCCAAAAACTTGTTCTAATTTCAGTTTTCTTGGTCAATTAATGAAGTAATTGGGTTTCAAAATTTTTTAGGGTTACTGGTCAATTCTTGACCATGAACCAAAACCAAAGCTTGGATTAAATTGCCATTATTAAAATAATTATTGAGTAGTTTTCACTTACTACCCTAAAATTTACTGAATTTCATAATTTACTATCTAATAAAGTTCATTAGTTGGCATTATATTCGTTTACCTTAATAATGGATCAATATTTAAGTTAAGCTTACCATTTTTCCATGATATTAATAGTGGATACGTATTAACAGAGATACGAAAGTGGTAGTAAAATCAATACTTACGTGAAATTTAAGTAATAAATTTTCGAGTAGTAAAATGAAATTTCCCGTTACTAGCCTCCGTTTCATTTGACTTGTCCTCATGCACACGACTTCAATGACTTCATGCATGCGTCAGTCAACATCAGTACACTCTAATCTTAAATGTGAACGGCTCCGTAGTCAGCACCGAGTAGCGTTGGCAGACCTCATCTCCTTCACCATTACTTACTCTGGTTCATTTCATATTTGCATTGCTCAGAAAGCAAAACACATGGAAACTAAACAAGAAATATATATATATATATATTTTGATACGAACTCAACAAGAAATTATTAATACAAGACAACCCAATTCTTACTTCACAATAAATAAATATTTAAGCTCAACAGTATCCTGCCCTGTCTCCATTTCCATTGTTTTTGGCATTTTTTGTTGTTGTAGAATGTGTCTTCTGATATGCTCTGTTGGGCTTTGGTCTGATTGAATAAAACCAACAAAATTAAGGAAAAATCTAAAGTCAAGGCTCTCTCTGTTGTGGATAGACCAAAACCAAACCAAACCAAACCCAACGCGCTACGAGTCTCTGACTTTCAGACACGAAATGGGAACGAAGAGATAGGAAACCCTCAAAAGGTTTGAAACGTTTTCTTGGGTCTTTCATTTTTGCGTAGGTAGAAAAATCTGCCTGTGTTTTAGTCCTGTCCCTTTCTGCCTGTTAATATTTTTCGTTTCATACACGACACTCTCTCTCTCTCTCTCTCTACATCTCCAAAACGGGGTTTTGCTTCTTTGTTTAAAGATTTTCCCATTTCTTTTATCTTTAAGGCCATTCTCACAACTTTCTCTTTCAATTTATGTCTCTTCCCTTCACTTCAAAATCGATCTGGCTTTGTCTCTTTTCAGCCTCTCTGTCTCCAATTACCAGCTGGGTTTTTCTTTCTTTGCTTCATCCCCTATATAATTTGCTTAATTTCCTTCAATTTCCAATTTGGTCTTCATTTGCCCTCTGTTTGGTTGACCTTTCTTAGCTTTCTGGGGTCTGTTAGTTGACCACAATTTCCACTAGCCTCCCTTATTTTATTTCTGGGTTTTCTTTTCCAATTCTATTCATCCCATTCCCATCTAATTTCAGCCATTTCTTCTAGTTTTCTCATCTCTGTTTTTCCCCCAGTGAATTCAAGTTAGCATTTTTACAACTACATATATATACCATCTGAGGTCTTGAGGCTTTTATTTATTTGTTGTTTTAGAGCTTAATTAAGAAATGAAGTGCTTTTTTCCATTCAAGGACAAATCCAAGGGCAAGAAGCAAGGAGCACAATCCGCTCCAGAATTGAGAAACCAAAGCAAATCAAGCGATCTGGTTTGTGATCGTGCAACAAAATCTTCAAGTTCCTTACCATCACCAAGGAGCATACCAGAATTGTACAAAGAAAAGGAGCAAAATTTGAGAGTTTTCTCATATCAAGAGCTGAGGGAAGCAACAAATGGTTTCAACAGGTTGCTAAAGCTTGGGGAAGGAGGTTTTGGGAGTGTATATAAAGGAAAGATTAGCCCTGAAAATGGTCAAGGAAGTCCGATTGTAGTTGCCATTAAAAGGTTAAACCCGCGTAGCTTACAGGTTCGATATATCTTCATTAATTTTCTCTGTTTATGTTTTTCCATTCCAATTTTTCTCTCTGTTTCTCTGTTTTTCTTTTCCTGTTCTTTTCCACATCTACTTGGTTGGGAGATATTGTTATTTGTTTGGTGGTATGTGATGGTGGCATTGAATTACATATTGTATTTTGATGGTGAATTCCAATGGTGTTTGTTTTTGAATGTTGAATTTACTTCTAGTAGTGGACTATGTACTTTTCTATTTTATTACAATTAAATATCATTTAATTATAATTGATTAGTGCGTATGTGATTGTTTAATATAGTTTTTTTTTATTCGCTCAGGGATTTAATATGTTTGTTAACTAGGTTGCTAGTTGAACTTAGATTTGAACTTAATATAAATAAATCATATCTTACGTTACTACATATTTGTTTAAATAAGATTATACATGGTAGGCGTGGCGGGGATGGGGATGGGGATCAATTATACGGCACTTGGAAACGAGAAAGCGAGGGGGCTAAATTATGCTTTTAAAATCTATCTGAATCTAGGAATGAAGTAAAAGTCACAAAGAAGCAGAATAAATTATAAGCAAGTGGGGGCATGATATAGACTAAATGCGAGATAGTGATTAAGCTATTGAGGGTGAAAGAAAACTGAGTGCCTTCTTTTGATCAAGTCAATAAAGTTGTGTGATCTAGACATCGCTGAAACCCCAACATAGGGATATGACAAATTTGGACTTTGGAATCCATCTGGTGCTGGAAGTGTAGGAATATTGAGAGGATATTGTCATGTGCCAATGAGCAAGGATGCTATAAGTTAGTGACAAAAGTTAGCAAGAAGAGAAAGAAAAGTGCTTGCTTAAAAGCAGGCTAATGGAATTGATTGATATTCATTTCCATGTGGTGCTTGAATGGCATTTGTTAAATGAATGACAGATAAATGCTTGAAATGCTAACGGAATTGATGTTTAATTCCTTGTTTTGCTAACTCAAGAACAAGAATTGGAACAGTTTTTCATTGAAGGTAATGGTTTAGCTACTAAAAGATATCGGTCTGTCTAAAAGTTACATCTTATTACTCTTTTAACCAGTTATATATATGGTGGACGCACAGATTTTGCAGAATCTAGTGGTATATTTGTCATTACCTTCTGAGATTGGCAAATATTTTAATGAAATTTAAGATTAATTAGAGACCCTTTTATACGCACATTTTACAACATTATATGCCTCGTACATGTTGTTCTGATTCTTTTGGTTTTGAAGCTTATGGTTATTAGCTTTTCTCAAACAGGGTCATAAAGAATGGCTTGCAGAAGTTCAATTTCTTGGCGTCGTAAATCATCCAAATCTAGTAAAACTTTTAGGATATTGTTCTGTAGATGGAGAAAGAGGGATACAACGGCTACTGGTATATGAATATATGCCTAATAGAAGCTTAGAAGATCATCTTTTCAACAGGGCTTTGCCCGCAATGCCTTGGATGACAAGACTACAGGTTATGCTTGGTTCTGCTGAAGGATTGGCTTATCTACACCAGGGACTGGAAGTTCAGGTGCATATAGTTTCTATCCATTTTATCTGATTTGACCATACTATTGTTTGTCAGTTTGTTTTTAACTTAAAACTTCCACATCATTTGAACATATGGCTCCTCTATGTCGGCTTGCTAGTTTTGGCTATGTTAATTTAACCAATGAAAACTAATAACATAATCGATTAAGGTTTTTGGGTCATTTCAGAAGATATTGGTATCTATTTACGAATGTGTGAGAATTTTAGTTAGGTCGTCTTTTTAAATTGACCAAGGATTTGAACTGTGACTGCTGATATTTCATGTTGTGTTATATATCTTTTTCTTGTTTCCTACTTTCAAACTGCAATCTCTGCTTTTGGAACTTAAAAGGTATGTTCTACTCATGTAATGTAACTGCCATAAGTTTGGTACAGATGAAGTTTTTTCGTCTGACGGCTATAAAAATTAGATTACAGAGCAAAGACCATTTCTGTTAGATTAAAGCAAACAACCTTTGCTGCTACATTTGAGTCATTTCAGGAGGAACAAAAAATTCCCACAACTAGAAAATGTGCAGAATACTAGAGTGTGTTGCTTTAGTGGTGGGGTTACAGTTAAAGAGGTCACAGGCTTGGTTTAGCTCTACTTGTGGGCTTGAAAACACTAAGATCCTCATATCCTTATTTTACTTCTGATATCCAAATATTGCAGAAATTATATGCATATGGAAATGATACACTTGCTGAGACCTCACATGATCATTTTTTGTTTGTAAGAAGACAGATTCTTGATTATATGTTTGTTGAACCTTGTTTTCTTGCGTTACATGGACAGGTGATATATCGAGATTTCAAATCCTCCAATGTGCTATTGGATGAGCAATTCAGGGCAAAGCTCTCAGACTTCGGGCTTGCTAGAGAAGGACCAACGGGTGACCGCACTCATGTATCGACGTCGGTGAGTAGAGGGGTAATAGACAGTTTATACTCCCAAAACTGACCCTCATAATTCTGAGACATGCTACACCCGCAACATATTTAGTGGCAACTTTACATGTTGCATAAGCACTTTTTATGTAACTTTTGTATGACATGTCATGTACAGAAGCATCCATAGTTCCACCCAAGTTAGCTGGGGTTTAGGGTTTATTGGATCCCCAAGCATCATTTGAGCCACATTCTTGAGAGTATTTTCACTTGCTTAGTTAGCACATTTATGTCGAAGGTCCTCTTTTTCCACGGGAACAAGTGCTGGTCAATGCACATTTTTCTACAAGTTCCCCTTTTTTTTCTTCCCCTTACACATGCCACAAGTTCTTTATGTTGACTTCAATGACTTCATTAAATTGGCCCTGAACTATTGATGAAATGTCCTTGTGCCTCATTTGGAGCACCGTACTAGACAGGACTGGGACTAAGTCCACGCCAGTCTCATGGGGACCCACCCCTGTAGAAGGATTTGTCCAATCTAATGGTCCAGTCCCATCGTTGTACACTAAACATTAGGGAAGACTAGTTGTCCATTTTAATTGAATTTGTCATGTCCAGCCCCACCTTCGAAACATGGCCTTGATGTCCCCGTTTAATGGTTGGCCGGCCGCCTTCTTTGAAGTGCATCATTCTTGGAAAGAAACGTAGGATTAATTATGAAAATTATAATTGTCTGTTGGTGTCCTATAATATCACTTATGCATATTGTCTTTGGTTTTGTTATCAGGTGGTAGGGACTTATGGATATGCTGCCCCAGAATATGTTGAAACAGGCCATCTTTCAACGCACAGTGATTTATGGAGTTTCGGTGTGGTGCTTTATGAGATCCTCACAGGCAGGCGTGTCTTGGACAAGAACCGCCCGGCAGCGGAACAGAAACTTCTTTATTGGGTTAAACAGTTCCCTGCTGACAGTAAAAGGTTCAGCATGATAATAGATCCATTGCTGAGAGATCAGTATTCTCTTACTGCTGCTCGAAAACTTGCCAAGTTGGCAGATAGTTGTCTGAACAAGAATGCAAAAGACCGACCAACAATGTGTCAGGTGGTAGAGGTCTTGAAGCAAGCTCTACAAGATTCAGAAGCGGGAACCAGCTCTGTAAATAGAAGTTTTGAGGCATCTGGGTCTAAATTGGCTAAGCGGAAACCCAAGTAGACTTGATATAAGAGAGCATTATCATAAATGCCACTTTCTGTTGTGACCAAATTCTCTTTAAATTTTTTGAGCAGGTTTAAATGATTGGATATTATTAAGCAAGTATAGCAGGGTTGCAGTTAACCCTTTTAATATTTTTTCGGGGACTTTCAGGCGCGAGTCTGGATTCATCGGTAGCTGTCAAATCCGGGAAGTATGTAAATTTCTGAGGTCCTGAAGCACAAGAAATCAAGGAAATTTTTTATTTTCTTATTGTAAAATTATAGAATGGAAGAAGAAGGCAGTGAAATAGGGGAGACCCAGTAGACTGATCTGTGGAACCGCTGTAAATCTCCATACTGAGCCTTTTGCCTTTTATCTTTTTATTAGTTTGAAGACATAGCTGCGCACTGTGGTAGCATTCATGTGAAAATTGCTTGTCTTTTTTTTCCCTTTCTTTCCCTTTTCTTCTGGGACTCATTCTTGTGGAGTGAAATTTAATTACATTGATTAGCCAAAGTTCATGGAACCTCCCTCAAAGCTTTCGTGATTTCATCAGTGCAGCATTATACTTCAATTTCTTGCCTGTTTAATTCTTCCATCCGAATTCCCATCTAAACAAAATTAGTCTAAGTTCTTGAAACTAGAGAACAATGTGTCGGGACAAAATAATACATGGAAAATGGCATTCTTTTTTTACGCCTTACGTTGGTGCACATAGTTTATTACCCTAAACCCTAAACAAGCGTCATTTTTGTGTGGAAAACATCTCTCCCTGTCTCTCTGTTTCTCTCTTTTGTTCCTCTTTACTTGCCTATGCATATCCATCACTGTATATATGTCTTTATGCAGCAAGTCATGAAACCATACACTCAATGTATAATAAAGTTTTTTTTTTTGGTCGCATGTCTAATAAAGTTTTGTTTGATAGAAATTAAATATACAGTTTGCAGAATTTGATTACATTCAACAAGCGGTTAGAAGTTGATGGTAGATCCCATGTTATTTCATAATTTCGGGGTTTCAGTATTTTCGGTTTATTTTCAGTAGTACTGATTGTAAATTAATATAAATTGAACTACAGTTTACATAACAATAAGATGCAAACACATGAATGTTTGATGAATATCTAGATTTTTTTATATAAAAAATAATATTACTATTACACATTTTAACAAAAAAAATCTCATATGAGAACATTACACACACACATATCCAAAGATGGATTCACGCTTGAGCTAAAGTGGATAGAGATAAATTAGGCTTAGTTGTGTAAGCTCAATTTAGGAAAATTACATAATAGCCCGTGCCTTTTTTTAGAAAGCAGCCCACCTCAGATACCACGTCTCCAGTTGAATACTTTAATACTTTCATTACTAAAGTTTTTTTTTTCTCTCTCTCTTCTTTGGTTTATTTAGGCTCTAATTTGGCTCAAATAATGTTTATATCTCATTGAAAATAATTTATATTTTTTTTAATGAATTTTGAAAATAGTTTTTAATATGAAGGAAATATACTAAATTAGTCAAAAAGTATACCACTTTTATTAATTTGAAGGAAATACACTGAAGGAAATATTGCTTCTTATAAAAAAAAAATTGTTAAAAAATATGGATTATAATTGTTCTTGAAAAACAAAACAAAAAACCATCCCAGTAAATATTCCTTGGTCCGCCATTGTATATATCATGGACTTTCTAGTAAGATAATATTTTCCTATATATATGTATATGAAATTTCGTAAAACATATAATTATTGTATATGCATTGATTTTTCATTTGGGTTGGCTTGACAAAAAAGAAACTACGAAAAAAAAAAACTTGACAAGAGGAAAATAATTGTAATCTAACCTTTTTTTGGGCCAAAAATGGGTAGAAACTTTTTTAGAAGCTAACAGAAACAACTTTTTTGGGGTATATACAAAAGAAAGCAACTGGGCTTGCGTAGTTATAAAGCTAATTGAAGCCCAAACACACGAGTGGGCCATTTGCAAGTTAGGGTTTAGAAAGTGCAATAGGATTAATTTGAATAAAATATTATGTTTCCCAATGAGATTAGGAAACAGAAAGATATATTTACATATGTAGCCCTGGGCCTTTTCTAAACATTAAAATTAATAAAACGAAAATTACAAGTAATTCACCTCATTGCTAAGATTTTCCCTGCTTCTATGGTTGTCCATTGCTTTTGCCAAGGCATCTCTCCATTTCCCCAACTCTTTATTGAGAATTTTCCACTTACAAGACAATGTCATTTCCGTACTGGTTGTACCCGATCTTTCACAAAATTCGGCATGAATTTTTTTTTTTTCCACATATGACAAAATTTCATCTCATTGCTCGAGACGGGATAATGACTAATTTGGACCCAACACTCACACAACAAAACATCTTCCATGGTGCTCTATGCCCCAATATAGTCGATAGAAGAAGCCATAAGATGATAAAGAAAAATAAAACTTGAAAGTGAATAAAATATTGAGTAAAAAGTGAATAATTTTAGAAGTAGAAGAAAATGTATGAGGATTTGGTGTTGAAAGTAAAGAGTAATGGTAGGTATTTATAGAAAAAAAAATTCCAAAATTTTTTAGTATTTTTTATAAAAATTTTCGAATTTTTTTTCATAATTTTATAGCAAAAAAAAAGGCTAGCCGTTGGATTGGAGGAGAGTAGGCGATTGGAGCGGCCAGACGACGACACTTGTCTTCTAGCCGTTGGTGGAGCGCAGGGCTGACATCAGCTTCCCCCCCCGGGCTCGCCCATAGGGCCAGCCTGTCTTCGTAGGTCCCACCTTCAGCCCGGGCAAAAGTGGACCGCTGGAACTGGCTTTTTGGCTTGGGCTCCCCCCAACCCCGGGCTTGGGCTCCTCGCTGGAGTTTCTCTTAGGTATTTTACACGAGTTGAAATGGCATCTAAAACATGTCATTAGACAAATCCTGTCCTCTTATTAGCCATGTACTATCACTATTAATTTTCTCCTCACCATCCCCAGGTTTATGTTATATCTCTATCGAAGAATGTAAAGTCACAAATTGAAAACTTAAAAAAAAGTACAACATATATAACTAGTATTGGAATTGAGTTTATTCTAGTACTGGAAGGGTTAATTAGTATTAATTATCTATTCACCTTTTGATGAAATTTGAACATATGCGATTCTATATGTGTGAGTTTGGACTGAAGCATATCTCGGGTCATCATCATTTCAGATATTGATGAATGCAAAGGCAGTAATGAGTGTGGAGGCAATTTATGTGAGAATTTTGTTTGGGGGTTATAGCTGCTCTCAAATATAAGAGTAATGCTATTTGGACACACAACATTGACACACTTAGTGACACCCGCTGATGTGTCAATGTATTATTTGTTTTTCTTTTCTCCTCGTTTTCTGTTCAGCGAATTATACATTGACACATCAACTGATGTCAACTAAGTGTTTCAATGTTGTGTGTCCAAATAGCATTACTCCAAATATAAATGGCTATCGGTAATAATACTACTACATGCCACTTCAAAACCACCATCGGGTCGGGCCTCTGAAAGTGAAATCAAAACTATTATTTTAGGTATACTACTCCTTTCAAAGCCAACGGATGAGTGGCTGTTCAAAGAAGCCAACGGGTAGAGGTATCCAACCAACTCAGAAGACCAGCCATCTTTGCTAGCCTTTCGTTTTCAATTTATCTGCCAATAAACCAAATATAAAAGCTGCCGACTGCAACTTTGCATGTCGGTGCATTATTGAGTCAAATAGTCAACATGCTGACAAACTCCTCCACTGAAAATTATTCCCGTCTCATCTGCTAAATAGTTTATTATTTATAGTTCGTGCTAATTGAATCTCAAGTGTTATCCAAAGTTTTCATGGCAGCCCATCTTTTCGTGCTAATTTAATCCAGAAGATTATTTCATTAACTATTAGCCATTCATTGGCTTTGTTGATGAGGAGCCATTCAAGTTTTTCAACATTTTTAAGTGTGAAAGGTTTTCCCAAGGTGATAAAAATGATATGTTTCCACCAAGACCAACACTAGAGAGTTTGAGGGTCCTTCAGATAATATAACCAAATGAAAATGGTCTCCATAAAATATATTTCATTTTAAAGTTCTTGCTCTGTTTTTTAGTTCGAAAAAAAGTTGATAAACTTTAATAATTTGTACTTTTGAGTGGACTTGACTTGTAAAAGCCATGGATCGAGGAATATGGCATTAATTCCTGCCTCCAAGCTGCAGGAAGTACCTCTGCACCTTCCGTAATTTATTTTTATTTTTATTTAGTTTTATCCTACATTGAGAAGGTTAAGACTTGAGAATGATCATTTGCTTTGCTAATAAAAATTCCAAGCTTCCTACTAGACATCATATAGGAAACTTAAGAAAGGAGGAAGAAGCAAAACAATGGACTTGGCATAATAAGGACCTGAAAGTGCTGAAACTTATTTCAATTTGCTTTGAAACTTAACTTTGGTTTCTTTCTAGTCCTTTCTCCATAGACTGATGGGGATGAGCCTAATGTCACGCAAGGGCGTAACCAGAAAATTTTCAATGGGTGGGCTAGCTAAAGTTATTAGCTTAAAATTTAATGGTAAATTTTTTTGTACTTACACATTTTCTATAGTTTTTCTAGAAATAAAAGTGTATATTATTAAATCATATAAATTATGCCAATTGTAAACACAAGAAAAAAAAAATAGAGCTATATTATTCACAAAAGGGTGAAATTTCATTTACAAAAACGCAGAAAAAGGAAGAACAATACTCACAAGGAGTTCGACTAGTGCTGTAGACGTGCCTACAAAAAATTCAAATTTTTATCTAATAGGGTTTTTCTTTTTAGGTTTATATGAGTTTTAGTTTTGAGGGGATTTAAGTGTATTCAAGTGGATTTTTGGTTATAAAATTGACATTGACTAGAAGTCTTTTAATTTTATTATTATTTTTTTGTGAAGATTGACTAGAAGTCTACACACGTATAGCTAGGAATAATTTCCACGCAAATTCATGTGCACAAATCAACGAAATATGTAACCTACTTAAGTCAATCCATGTTCCTTTTTTGGGAGCTATATAAAGTTTGATATACATCAATTTGGACTGCAAAAATCAAACTCTGCAAATCAGTTTGATAAATAATGAATACCATATCCATTACTCTGTTGTTATGGCGCATAATAATACTAAGTTGTTGCTATGGAGCTGCAACAACTAGTGCAGCATCAGCGCCTAAAGCAAAGCCTAATTGCACAACGCATTGTGGAGATGTTGCCATCCCATACCCTTTCGGGATTGGACCTAGCAAAGATTGTTACTTGGATAAATGGTTTCAAATAGACTGCAGGCACACCAACTCTACAACCTCAGCTAATTACAGCAGGCAAGTGCCTTTCCTCAAGAGCGTCAACCTGGAGCTGCTAAGTATTTCTCCGTTTGAAGATGGCGGTGGCACGCAATCGGTTCAGGTTAAGAACCCTATTACTTTCTTCAGTTGCGAAGGAAATGAAACTCGCCAACCCCAGAATTTGAAGGGCAGTCCTTTCATCTACTCTCAGAGAGACAACATATTCATTGCAGTGGGTTGTGACCTCTTTGCCCGTATGAGCTCAGATTATGGGCCTGTCGCTGTATGCGGGTCGATTTGTCGAAACACTACAGACCGCGACAATGGCGACTGCTATGACAGTAATGGCTGTTGCCGAGGTATTCTTCCAACATATGAACTCACCAATTTTAGTATTGATGAGATACCATCAAATTCATCAACATCAGATGCAAAGGACGATTGCAAGTACGCATTTTTGGTTGATAAATTTTGGTTTGCGGATAACTTAACGAATTTTCGAGACGTGAAGGATATGGACAGCGTTCCTGTGGTGCTAGACTGGATGTTAAACGTACATGACTATGGTGAAAGATTCAGTGAAGGATTCAGAGAAAAACCAGACCTGACGGATAACCAATCAACACCCTTTTGCACCAGAAATTGGTACAATCGGAACACGATGATTTGTGACTGTCCGCCGGGCATGGAAGGAAATCCTTATCTTCTCCAACCTTGTCAAGGTACGCAAACTGAATCTCTTCTTTCTGGATTTAGATTGATCCTTGATTTGTAATCTCAGTGGTCTACTATAAAAATGTTAAGGTAATCTCAGTGATTATGTAGAAAGCTTTTATTGAAATCGCTTTTGTTAGATGCACCTCAAAGTTTTTGATAAAAATTAAAGTCTTAGAAACTTTGTTTATCAAATGTTCTCAAAAGAGATGAGCGGACCAGTAAGTTTGGGGGCCCGAAGCCCCATTAGGTATTTTACACGAGTTGAAATGGCGTCTAAAACATGTCATTAGACAAATCCTGTCCTCTTATTAGCCATGTACCATCACTATATTAATTTTCTCCCCACCATCCCTAGGTTTCTGTTATATCTCTATGAACGTAAAGTCACTCATCGAAAACTTATAAAAATAAGTACAACATATATAACTAGTATTGGAATTGAGTTTATTCTAGTTCCGGAAAGTTTAATTTGTATTAATCATCTTTTCACCTTTTGATGAAATTTGAACATATGTGTGAGTTTGGACTGAAGCATATCTCTTGTCATCATCATTTCAGATATTGATGAATGCAAAGACAGTTATGTCTGTGGAGACGATGTATGTGAGAATTTTGTTGGGGGTTTTAGCTGCTACTCAAATATAACTGGCAGTAGATGTACGCATTCTTCTGGTTCGGACTTTCGGACTATTACATGCCACTCCAGAACCATATCTCAAACTGAAATCAAAACTATTGTTTTAGGTATAGTACTCCTATCTTCTTACATCTCTCAAAATAATAATACACCATGGTAATATTATTCAAAAGTTTTTTTGGGTTACAATGTTGTTCAAAATGTTTTTGGCTTGGACAAAGGGTTTATTCCATTATTTTCGTGTTTAGAAATGATAATGGATATAATTCAATACCTATTGATGCAGGTCTTGGCTCCGGTGTTGCGCTATTGTTACTACTCATTGGTGCATGGTGGGTACACAAAATCGTGAAGAAAAGGAAAACCACTGCACGCAAGAAAATGTTTTTCAAACGAAATGGTGGTTTATTGTTAGAGCAACAATTATCGTCAGGCAAAGTTAATGTTGACAAAATCAAGTTATTCAATTCAAAAGAATTAGAAAAGTCCACCAACAGTTTTAGTATTGATAGAATTCTTGGTCAGGGAGGTCAAGGTACCGTTTACAAAGGCATGTTGGCAGATGGAAGAATTGTTGCAGTAAAGAAGTCCAAAATGGTGGACAAAAGCATGCTCTCGGAATTCATCAATGAGGTTGTAATTCTTTCACAAATCAACCACAGAAATGTGGTTCAAATTATAGGATGTTGTTTAGAGACCGAAGTTCCACTTTTGGTCTACGAATTCATACCGAATGGAACTCTTTCTCAATATATCCAAGAGCAGATTGAGGAATTCCCACTCACATGGGACATACGGTTGCAAATTGCCACAGAAATTGCGGGTGCTCTTTCGTACTTACACAGTGCATCTTCCTTTCCCATTTATCACAGAGACATAAAGTCTGCCAACATACTTTTGGATGAAAAATACAGAGCAAAAATTGCTGATTTTGGAACTTCAAGATCAATTTCCATTGACCAAACTCATCTAACCACATGTGTACATGGAACATTTGGTTACTTGGACCCAGAGTACTTTCAATCAAGCCAATTTACGGAGAAAAGTGACGTCTATAGCTTTGGAGTGGTCCTAGTTGAGCTCTTGACGGGTCAAAAACCAATTTCTGCAGTAACATGGTCACAAGAAAAAGAATACAGAAGTCTTGCCACATATTTCATTACCTCGATGCAAGAAGATCGTCTGTTTAATGTTGTTGATGCTCGAGTTCTGGCGGAGGGCTTGTAAACTTTATTGACTGCACATAAGTAGAACACATATCTTTGGTATGTCATAGAAACTGTCGACATATCAAGAATATACACAAGAGCTCTTCTCCTCAATCCGATCCCTCATACACTCATTCTAGATGGGGTGAATTCTTTTGTGTGGGTTGGCTTAATCGGTTGAGCAGGGGCACTTGTATTTATATGCATATTCCTAAGAGTCTTGCCCATCAAGAAACTCTTAAGAAGTCCTTATTGCATTAGGTTTATAACTTCTAATCCACAATTAAGATAGGAATCCTTCTAGCTCTTATATTAGCCTTAAAACACTAACTTTAATAGAGCTGCAGGTTTAGTTGTATTTGAACTCCTAATTGATATCAAGTCTTAGAATCCTTTGATGATTATAAGACCACACTTTAATGGGTTAGACATCTACACGTCTAACAGGGCTCTGAAACAGAAATCCAAGTAGTTGCTAACCTTGCAACTAAATGCTTGAATTTGAACGGAAGAAACCGTCCTACAATGAGAGAGGTTACATCAGAGCTAGAGGCTGTACAAATGTCAAGAAAACCTTCCATTAGTGCTCAGCAAAACTCTGACAGGGTTGATTTTGTGGAAGATGATTCAGTTGGGAATTGGGATGTTGAATCACTTTCAGAAGTGTCGGCTAGCTACTAAAAACATGGGTTTATGCCATTGTTTCCATCTACAAGTATGGTGAATTCCTTTTAATTGAATAAACTCTGTTTCATTTAATGTTGTTGAACACATATGTTATGTTTTTCTTACAACCCGCGAATATTCCCCATGCGAAATTTTGCTCAAACACATTGTATCAAGTTGACTTCATCTATTTCACTTTATCACCAGTCATACCTTGCATATTGCAATAATTCCATTTGAAATTGTAGTGGAAGATTATGAATTATTTTCCTACCAGATAAAAGTGAATTTGCTTCAAGTCATCTTATTGCTTAATCCTGAAGATTATTTCATTAACTCTTAGCCAATCATTGGCTTTCCTAGTTTTCCAAGTCATTTCTCCATAGACTGATGGGGATGTTTAGAGGTGTCAAATGGGCAGTGTCGGGCCGGCCCGTCCCATTTAAACTCGTGCTTTTAACATTTTCATGCCGTGTGTAGATATATGGTGAAGTCTACATATATGGGCTTGTTTGTTAGGAAAGACTAGACACTACAAGAAAAAAAGGTCAGTATTGACCAATTTCTCAGTGACCAAAGTGACAAGTTTCAGTCATCAACCTCTTATAGAAAATCCTCATTTGTCCTCCAAGTAGGCAACATACCCATATTATGCCTTGAACGCGCATGAGATGTAAGCATTTTGCTAGTATAGTCCAGTCTAGTAGTCCTCCCTATCAAACAAGCCCTATACTTTTAATAGGAATTTAGTGAAAAGCCCAAAAGAAGCAGCAAGCTCTCAAAAACACCCGAATTTCATTCTCTCCATCAATTCTATTTCATTTCATTCTCTCCATCAGTTCTTGCCCTGTTTTTTTGTACTTTCGATAAACTTTAATAATTTGTAGTTTTGAGTGGACTTTACTTGTTGTGGGGGTCTTTTTGTTCCAGCAGCCTGATGAATGGGCTGGGCTGCCGTAAGGAGCGAAAATGGGTGAAATTACCCCATGTGTCTGAGTTCAAAGATCAAGCCCCAAGAATGCTTCGAAAGGACAGTGAAGCCTTAAGAAACACCCCGGTTACCTTCACCAACAAAAACAACGTCTGCTTACAGATAAATTTTCTAGCTTGGCATGAGAGGCTTGTGGCATGGGAGCAAAATTGTCATGAGTTTAGCACTTAAAGAGAGAGAGAGAGAGAGCTGTGAGTTCCCAGGGAAAAAATGGAGGTATTCTGATAGGAGAGGAAGGGTTGTAGGGAGGTGTGGTGGAGAGTGAGGGAGAGAGTGAGGAAGGGTTGTTTACTAAACCATATAGATTAAGCGGAGTTAGATTCCAAATTCCTATTGAAGTTGTTTATTAAACCATATGGAATTGGAGTAGGAGTGGTCCTAATTACTACAATGTCCTCATTGTTGGGTTAAAGTAGATGGCATATTTAGAATTTTGAAAATTGTGTGAAATCCGAATTGGTGAATTCTCCAGGAATTAGAATTCCAAAATTAGGAATTCAATTCATAATTTTATGTGGGCCCCACTTACTTTTCAATTTTTTGTTGTGAAGTAAACGCAGGAATTCTCCATAGGCGGAATTCAATTCCTGATGAGAATTCCAATTCTTAATTAGTAAACACACCAATAGTGTAATAAACTCCAATCTCTTAACCCAAATAATAATATTAATAGTAAACTAAATTTAAGATTGAATGCGTCAGCCGCAAAACCACATTTGCGTGTGATCCAGGTTCTCTTTTAGTATGTCGTCTCAGCCGTCAGATGACCCATAATCAACCGTTCAGTTAGGACAATGCCACTCATGCGGATCGACTTGCCCAGCCGTCGATAAGTTTCAATCCAACGTCTCAATTGAAATTCACAAAAATCTGTGCAGAAAAAACCCACACAGAAGCGGCAAAGCAAAAATTCAAAGATCGCTCCCCACTATAAAAACCCCTTTCCCCTAATTAGTCAAATCACCACATTCACTTGATTAGGCGAAAAATCAAACTGTTTGGGAGGTCAGAAAAGAATTTCCAGAGAAAATGTCAGGAAGAGGAAAGGGAGGAAAGGGGTTGGGAAAGGGTGGGGCAAAGAGGCACAGGAAGGTGCTGAGGGATAACATCCAAGGCATCACGAAGCCCGCCATTCGAAGACTTGCTCGTAGAGGCGGAGTGAAGCGCATCAGCGGCCTCATCTACGAAGAAACCAGAGGGGTTCTCAAGATCTTCTTGGAGAATGTGATTCGCGATGCTGTGACTTACACTGAGCACGCCAGGAGGAAGACGGTGACTGCCATGGATGTGGTCTATGCTCTCAAGAGGCAGGGACGAACCCTCTATGGTTTCGGAGGTTAAATCTAGCACATGTAATCAAATCCCTCCTTTGATTTGGGGCTTTTGTAAAACTTTTTATGAGCGAACAAAGTGTTAGGTGGTTTTTGAATCAGTAATGGCATGATTTTTAAGCTTGTTCTGCTTCAATCAATGAATATATAGACTATTGATATCCATTTTTGGGTTTATTTTTACCAGTTTCTGAAGTGGTTTATTTATTTTTGAACCAAACCCATTTGTGATTGTAGGCAAGGTGTTTGTTGGTTTGCCTGATGCAAGTCCAACCCATCAAGTATTGCTAGTTCATTTTAACATGTGGCTGATTAACCATTTCTTCAAACTAATGTAATTTCAAAGCCTCTCAGGCTCAGAATTTAAAATCATTACAATAATTTACAAATATGCAGATTAAGTAATAATTTACAGAGATGTCTATTTTGAACTCTCTAGTGGTCAGTTCAACTAGCTCAAGCAAAGTTTAAGCAAAGCAAAAACTAGAAATTTACTATTATTCATCTCACAATGAAATCTAACCTATCCATTGTCCATGGATTTCCTCCGCAGCTCGTTTTTTGGCTCTTGGGCGAAAACAACATAGCTCTGCACAAAGGGCAGGTCGCCTGGCCCTGGTTAACCCAACTATCTAGACACTCCCTATGAAACACATGATCACAGTTGAACTGTTCCCTCACCTCATGGCTTCCCTCTATGTACTCCAAGCATATATAGCATACTGTGTCAACCTCTTCTTTTCCTTCCATAAGGTTTTCCCACTTTAGTTTAAAACCAAAACAATCACATCATCTAATTTAGTGGTTCCTCTCAGCCAAGGTCTTAAACATCGATAGTTTCGGAAATATCAGGAAAATATCGATATCGATAAAAATTCAATAAAAATCACGGAAATTGTGATAAATACACGGAAATTTTTAATGAAAATTAGGCTTTTTTTTTTTTGGGGAAGAAAAATTAGGCACTTTACCATGCTTAAAAAATAATAGTGAAGATTGAAAATTAACTAAAAACATAAATAAATTATCCAAGGAAGAATTAAATAGTAAGTAAAGAAAATAATTATAGAGATTTAAGTAATTAAGCAACAATTTGAAGGGGAATTTAGTAACGTAAGTACTTATAATGAATAATAAAATAATCAATAACACTAAATGGATTAAATAGAAAAGAAATAGATTATATTAAGTAATTAAGTAACTGATCAACAATATAAAACAATAAGTAATTATGTTAATTTCTATTTTGAGAAACAGCTCGCAAGTATTATAAATATAGATTCCGTAGCTTATTATCACAAAGTAGGGCTGGGCATACACACCAAAAACCCGATTAAACTGCCCAAACCAAATTGTTGGTTTGATTTGGTTTGATTTTATTTTATTTTATTATTGATCACCAGTTTGAAGCCAAACCAAACCGATATTTATGGTTTGGTGTTCGGTGCTTGATATTTAAATCGTCAGTTAAACCAAACCAAACCGGTGAGTGATACTCAGAAATACTAATAAAATATTAAAAATTGTTAAAGCACATGCATATGAAGATGGAAAAATCATGTCTGGCTGGCGTGTGTTGGAACTTGGAAGTGCACTGCCCCATAAATAAAAAGTAAATATCAAAAGCCATCTTCTTTTCTTTTCTATTCTTCCCACTTACCTAACATCATTATAATATTGAAGTTTTGTATTTTATTTCTATTTTTGCGCACCTGAGTTATCTCTTCTTCTACCTCTCCCTCTTTCTCTATCGCTCCCCCTCTCCCTCCCCATCCTCAACTCAAATTCTCTTTTTCTTTTTGAACTGCAACACCAGCAAAGCTCCAGACCACACACATACTCTGCTTCGATGATATAGGCCACTGCTCTCTCTTGCCCAAAGCCTTAATCGGCACCATTCCATATGGAGAAAATTCTGATGCTTCAACCACTCTCTCAACGATTTCTTTGTTTTTGAGCCCAGATTTCATGGCATGACTCAGATCTCACCTCTGTGCACCTCAAAACCCGAAACCACCTCTGGCGTGGTGGTTAAGCGCCTACAGATCTGTGAAGACCCGTATTTTAAAAGGATAAAAGAATATATTTATCTTTTGGATAAACTTGAATGATATTATCTTTTTAAGATATTTATCTTTTGAATAAACTTGGATGTTCTTATCCTTTTAATATTTAAGTTTATCCTATCCCTATAAACACTATAAATAGGAGCATAACCTTATAGTTTCAAAACTTGAGAAATTAGAAAAGAAATTGAGAGAGAGAGAGAGAGAGAGAGAGAGAGAGAGAGAGAGGTGATTCTTGGAGGA